GACAACACTGGGAAGAACCGAGTCGGCTATGCTGTGTGTTCTGATTTTGATACTATAGACTCTGGTAGTTTGCCCCACTACCACTCAGCACAAACCGCTGAGCTGGTCGCGCCCACCGGGGCGTGTGAGCTGGCAGCGGGCAAAACTGTTAACATATTCTGTGATACGCGTTATGGTTTCTCTGTGGTGCACGACTGGGAAGCACTGTGGAAACACCGAAATTTTATGAAATCTGATGGTAAACCAATTCTTAATTCCACACAGGTTGAACGTCTGCTGAAAGCTGTAATGTTGCCCTTAGAGATCGCTGTATGCAAATGCCAGGCCCACACTAATGCCACTGATCCCATCTCTGCAGGGAATCGGCGCGCGGACAAGGCAGCGGCATACGCACCTCTACACACACACACACACACTACCTCACTCAAGACGTTGATATTTTCTACTCCAGCAGAGACGCTGCTGTGAGAGGGGAATGGGGCTCAACGACGGCATGGTGTGTGTGGCTGGGACCAGACAGCAAACCGTGCCTACCACGGCATTTCTTCAGACAGTTTGCAATTTTAGCACATGGTCGAGACCATGCCTCAAAAGGAGGGATGATGTGTGATTTAATCACACAAAATTGGTATACAAAGGGGTTTACGGCATTTGCACAGAGATTCAGCCAAACATGCGCTATATGCCCCGCGCACAACCCAGGTAAGTCTCAAAAGTATCCAACAGGCTGCTCATCCTCCGCCCCTGCGCCCATTTCAACATGTCCAAAGGGACTTTGTTGAACTCACACCATGCCAAGGTAAGTAATACTGTCTGGTTCTGGCGGATCTCTGGTCCAAATGGACTGAAGTATTTGCAGGCATACACGCCACAAGCAACGCGGTGGTGAAAGCTCTGCTCACAAAAATTGTGCCCCGAGAAAAAATCTCTAGTGACACTGGCAGTCACTTTGTAGCAAAAGTCATTGAGGAAGTGGGTGAATTTCTGGGCATTGATATACGTAAACACTGCAGTTACGCCCCCTGGCCCGGAGGCGCGTGCGAGCGAGAGAATGGCACTCAAAGCTCTGCCGCTAGCCCTCATGTACATGCGCATGAGAGTCCCATTCGAAATCCTCTGTGCCAGACCACCCAACTTGGGCGAGGGACCCCCGAACAGAGATCTGCCAAGCACCTCTTTGTGTGATGACGACATGCTGTCCTATTGTAAGGAAATTAATGCACTTTTGTCCTCTATTTCTGCCCAGGTCAGGAGCGCCCTGCCACAGGCTGCGCAGGCGACTGGGTCCTGATGAAGGAAACGAGACGAAAGCATTGGCGGTCCAAGCGCTGGCTCGGCCCATTCCTCGCCCTCCTGGTGACGGACACTGCCGTTAAGGTCGCGGAGAGGACAACTTGGATCCACGCCAACCACTGTCGTGCGGGGCTGCCACTGAGGGCCATAGACGAGGACACCGAGGGCGCGGACGGACCAGGCCCATCCGCGGCTCCCTACGCTGAAGAAGTTGGCCGGCGTGCGGCCACCGTCGGTGAAGCAGGCCAACAACAACACCCAGAGATTCCCAGCGTTCCCGAGGCGACCCCCCTTTTGCCCAACTCCCCAGCCCCCGGACCCCAAGGCCTGGGAGCCATGAAGGCCCTGAGCGCTCTGCTCAGCCGCAGCAAGTATGCAGAGCTGCTGCTCATTCCAAAGATTTCTCCAGAGCCTGCTCCCTCTGGCCATAATGCAGATTGGAGCTCTGCTGGAGTGCCCCCTGGTGTCTCGTCTCCCGTGTGTCCGGAGGAGGTGGAGATGAGGGCTGCTCTACAGTTCCTGATGAGGCACATGGTGAAGCGTGCTGTCATGAGGTCTCCCATCAAACGACCTTTGGGCCTGGCCGATCTGGAGCGTGCTCAAGCCATGGTCTCCACACCCCAAACCCCGAGCACTCTGCCCAACCGAGTGCTGAGGCCAAGGCTTCAACGCAATTAGAGTCTTGCCGCTCCAAGACCAAACATCGCCATGACCACTAACGCTCCACACACGCTCATAGGGAGCGGTGCCACTGACTGCGAGACGGCACTGCTCGTGAGTATTCCCGCGGAAAAGACTACCGAACGTAGACCGGCATGGGCCCTTGGACTGTTATGCTGGCCACACTGACACTACTTTCCGTGCTGACCGTGTTTATTATGTTAATATTGCCTTCTCTTATCGCTGTCCGGATCCATTGTGTTATTATAATGTGCTCTTTCTTTTATTGACAAGCATGTGTCTTTTCTTGTCCACTTTGGACAGCAATAATTTAAGTGTTTCAAGCTTGAAGGTGGTGTGATTACGATGCCTCTGGTATTTAACTGATTAATGCAAAAATGGTTTTGAATTATCAGAAGAGGGGAGTGTGGTGACAGTTTTTGGAGTAATTACATTAAAACCAGCCGCAGCAAATACACGGACGTCAAAGGCCTTTTATCAATGCAGACAACCTTCTGACGCCATGCTGAGCTTTGTGAAGGTCCCTGCTGTCTGTCACACCCTTGTGTCTTTCCGTCTTGCATCTGTATGACCTGCACTTCCACCATTGTCTGTCTGTTCACACCCCATGCCACTGCCACCACAGGGGATGGCGCCGGCGCTTCCTGTGCGCCTCCTCACCGGTGGCCCCCTCCGCTCCGTTGTGGGCGTGACTATCTTTGGTGTGTGTTTTGTATACAGGAAGCTGGGGGCTCTGGCCCCCAGAGCTGAGCATGCTGCCGTTGTGTGCATATGCTGACTCTCCGCACTGTGCGTTAACAATAAACTTACGCTTTTGATCAGACAAAGGACCTTTGAGTTTCCTCCTTCATGGGGTATATAATTCTATAACACATGTCTTTAACATGTCTTTACCATGTGTTTGCCATGTCTTTAACATGTGTTTGCCATGTTAAAGACACATGTCTTAAACATGTGTTTAACATGTCTTTACCATGTGTTTGCCATGTCTTAAACATGTCTTTACCATGTCTTTAACATGTCTTTACCATGTGTTTGCCATGTCTTTAACATGTCTTTACCATGTGTTTGCCATGTCTTTAACATGTCTTTACCATGTGTTTGCCATGTCTTTAACATGTCTTTACCATGTGTTTGCCATGTCTTAAACATGTTTTTAACATGTCTTTACCATGTGTTTGCCATGTCTTTAACATGTCTTTACCATGTGTTTGCCATGTCTTTAACATGTCTTTACCATGTGTTTGCTAAGTCTTTAACATGTCTTTACCATGTGTTTGCTAAGTCTTTAACATGTCTTTACCATGTGTTTGCCATGTCTTTAACATGTCTTTACCCTGTGTTTGCCATGTCTTTAACATGTCTTTACCATGTGTTTGCCATGTCTTTACCATGTGTTTGCCATGTCTTTAACATGTCTTTAACATGTCTTTACCATGTGTTTGCCATGTCTTTAACATGTCTTTACCATGTGTTTGCCATGTCTTTAACATGTGTTTGCCATGTCTTAAACATGTTTTTAACATGTCTTTACCATGTGTTTGCCATGTCTTTAACATGTCTTTACCATGTGTTTGCCATGTCTTTAACATGTCTTTAACATGTCTTTACCATGTGTTTGCCATGTCTTAAACATGTTTTTAACATGTCTTTACCATGTGTTTGCCATGTCTTTAACATGTCTTTAACATGTCTTTACCATGTGTTTGCCATGTCTTTAACATGTCTTTAACATGTCTTTACCATGTGTTTGCCATGTCTTAAACATGTTTTTAACATGTCTTTACCATGTGTTTGCCATGTCTTTAACATGTCTTTACCATGCGTTTGCCATGTCTTTAACATGTCTTTACCCTGTGTTTGCTGTGTCATTGTCGTGTCTATTTGTCTTTGATGTGTCTTTGATGTGTCTTTAACACGAACTGAAGCATCATTGCATGATGTTAATTGTTTGAATTCAATATAAAAGGGTCTTTACTTGGGACTGAGGCTGCAGACCCATGACTGAGGCTGTAGACCCAGGACTGAGGCTGTAGACCCAGGACTGAGACTATAGATCCAGGACTGAGACTATAGATCCAGGACTGAGGCTGGAGACCCAGGACTGAGGCTGTAGACCCAGGACTGAGGCTGTAGACCCAGGACTGAGGCTGTAGATCCAGGACTGAAACTGTAGACCCAGGACTGAGGCTGTACAGCCAGGACTGAGACTGTAGACCCAAGACTTGGACTGTAGACCGAGGACTGAGGCTGTAGACCCAGGACTGAGGCTGTAGACCCAGGACTGAGACTATAGATCCAGGACTGAGACTATAGATCCAGGACTGAGGCTGGAGACCCAGGACTGAGGCTGGAGACCCAGGACTGAGGCTGTAGACCCAGGACTGAGGCTGTAGACCCAGGACTGAGGCTGTAGACCCAGGACTGAGGCTGTAGACCCAGGACTGAGGCTGTAGACCCAGGACTGAGGCTGTAGACCCAGGACTGAGGCTGTAGATCCAGGACTGCGGCCACACAATGCAGGACTGTGGAAATGACTTGCGTTATGATGGTGTGATTCTCACCTAACTCTAACTCTCATCCTAATCCTGACTCTAACTCTAACCCTAACCCACTCAGTCATGAAATTGCATAATTCATTTAAAAGATTTAAGGCTCATAATTGTCTTAATTTCCCAAATGTCTACATTGGTTCAGTATAAAGTTACCACAGTTACATTTATCTCTTGTTCTTTCTCATTATTTCACAGAAAACACGTAACTATTGTTTGCCAAAGAACCAAAATCCTTTATTTAACCATCTGTTCAGAAACGTCTGCAGCTCCACCTCTGATCAAGCCCGCCCTGCTCTGCTCTGGACTTTAATATGAGACTGTGGGGTCCGAAAGGAGAGACAAGGAGAGAGAGGAGAGCAGAGACAAGGAGAGAGGAGAGACAAGGAGAGAGGAAAGACAAGGAGAGAGAGGAGAGCAGAGACAAGGAGAGAGGAGAGACAAGGAGAGAGGAAAGGAGAGACGGAAGGACACATGGACACAGCCACCGCTCAGGTCAGGACCTGGATATATTCATGTGTTTGAGACGACTCCACAAAAGGAGATGAAAACGGTAAATGATGTTGTTTTTGTAGTTTGTTAGAAATGTCTGTATTGCTGAGCTTTCGTTCCGCCGTCACTTTGACAGAAATTATACTTTTTTCAGAATGTTTTTGTGGCTTGAGTCCTCTGAGATTGTTCCGTATTTGATGCAGTGGTTTCAAAGTGAACAAAACTAAGAATAAATATGATAAGAAAAGCTGATATTTTGTATCAATTTTTTTTAAATGTTTAACCCTCAGAATGTTTTAATGTTTGAATATGTTTGTGTCTGCATTTCAGTCTCTAAAAATTCTGCTTACAAATTTCAATGTGATTGAAATTTCAAAATAACATTTGCCTTTGGAATATCACATAGGTTTCTATTCATCCATCCATCCATCTTCTTCCCCTTAATCCATTTCTGGCTCGGGGGCGGCAGTCATAGCTGCACCCAGTACACATAGCACCAACCCGTCACCCTAACCCTCCTGCAGGTGGTGAGTCCACAGGAGCCTTTATTATTCAAGCCTCAAATTCAATGCAGTGAAAAACGACGGATTTGTTCAGATTTTGAATTTGATTTTTAAAAAAACCTATATATATATATATATATATATATATATATACACTGAATGTTCAGCAACGCAAACCTTGCAGAAACGGGTATAGCTCCTCTAAGCACCGCCCCCAACTCGCTCACAGGTATCTCATTTCCCCTTTGCGCTCATCCCACGGAGCCATCTAGTTTTATTTGCGATCTGATACGTATGCTAACATTAGCATGAGCGCAACTTCTTGTAAGCTGTACAAAAATCACTGATGAAATGGTACAAAAGCCACGCACTGTTAACAAAACATTTAAGTGAAAGATTAACTATAGTTTCACGTCTGAACGTAGTCCGAGCATAGCTAGTCAGAGGCGTTCCCGCTCCCGTAGGTCTCTTCAGAGGTTACGATGTAAGCTAACGCTACATACATTCACCCGGGCTTGAGTTCTCCTTTGATCATTTTTTGGCTTTAGTTCCCTCTTCTCTTCCTCACTGTTGCATTGTTCAGGCTGTTTTGCTGTGTCTGCAGTTACAGCCAGAGGAGTTATAGCCACTTAAGCTAACATGCTACTGTGTTTAGCAGCGCTGTAGAGGCTAGAGGACGCAACCTCGGTCTGTGTTTCAATATGTAAATGATGAAGTGTTTTGGATGAGTACAGTTTGAAATATTCGAGCAACACTTTTTGGATGTGATTGTGTGTGCCATAAAACATGTTATTTTGCATCATTAACACTTTCTCATAACTTGTTGTTGCTGTTATCTAACATGTAAGATCCTGGACATGTTTGAGGAGACACTAAAGTGTTTTCTAACACGTAAGATCCTGGACATGTTTGAGGAGATGCTAAAGTTAAACTAAATAGTGTTACAGTCACTTTTCTGCAGGTTCGTCTGTTTTCACCTCATTTTCTCAGCTTTTTTTCTAACGGGGGATTTACACAGTAGGCGTAAACAGCGCGTACGCGTTTACTGCGCGCTCTCTGCGCGTAACATTTTTTTGGAGTATCTACACTGACCGTGCGCGCAGGTCCGCGGCTTCTGATGCTCTCCCTGTGTAGTCTATGGAGCAGTGTAGAGGACAGTACGAGCCAGAGGACTGATGTAGAGCAACACAAATCACATGCATGTGTTTGTCTTCATGGTCTCTGTGCGCTGGTTTGTCCAGACGCGAGACTTTATGAAAGAAAAAAAACGATGTCCAGAATCACTGTAAAACCTGCTGCTCCTCCTGCTGATGTTTAGACACAAGTGCAGTGTGCGTGCAGATGTGATCTAAAGCCAAGGACCGCTAGAAAAATAAAGTTTTACATGAGATTTCAATGGGAGACGCGTTGGTGCGCGCACAAAATTAGAAATCCATCCTAAATTAGAGCGCAGCTTCGCGTCACATGTCCGTCATACGCGCGTATAACGCTAGAAGTGTAAATATCATCATAGGTTAACATGGAAAAAAGTTACGCGCGTCTGCTGCGCGTATAACGCGTACGTGCTGTAACGCGTGATGTGTAAATTAGCAGTAAGACTGGTGCTTTTTGTCACACTCCCCTCTTTTTGACTGGCGATCACAGGAGAACGAAACAAGCTAAAAACAAAGGTCTTTTTGCTGCTGAAAGTAGACAGTCCTGTTTTCAGACGCTGGTTTCACCTTTTTCATAGTCATAGCACACAATATTCTGTGAGTCTTAAAAATCAGTGGAGTCATCAAAAATGGCTGTCCCATTGAGATTAAGAATCTCTTTTTCAAGGGAGTCCTGGACAAATATTACATACAGATTATAAAACAGTCACATACAATTTCATAAAATTACGGATTAGAAAAACAGTTACATGTAAATGAGGATGTCTCAAGTGCTCTCAATCTGGATCTAAAAGCATTCAATGAAACAAGTTCAGATAATTTACAGTCTTTTTGCAACACATTCCATAGAAGGAGCAGCATATACAAAATCTTTGTGTGAGTAAAGGACAGATGTAAGAGGGCAGCAGACCAAGCCTTATAAACAAAAGTGCACCAGTGTCCAAACCTTCTGTGGACAAAGATCCCACTCGAGTCAAGGCTTTGCAGTTCGTGATGAATTGAACATTTTAATTGAATCATTATTTAAGTACAGATTTTTTCTTGTTTTTCTACTTTTAAGTCTTACTGTTGAAACTGTGTAAAATGTTACAATGGCTGACAATATCGAACGCCTGCCCCAGATAATTTTTTAATCGACCAATCAGGATTGCCGGTGCTACGTGGGGTTTGCACTGCCTTCTCAAGCTTCTCTCATGCAGCAGCGAGAGGAATCCAAGATGGCGGACATAAAGTCCGCGAATCTTTTTAAAAGAGTAAATACGATCGTATTAAGACACGGTTGTCCCTTTTAATGCAATTTGAGGCGAGATGTTGATGGTTCTATGTTGATATATGTGTGTTTTAAGAGTCAAATGTTCCTGTAAAGTTTGGTTGAAGCACTGGTTCAGTGTTCCTGTTTACACACTATGCAGCAGGGTTGCCAGGGATCGGTGCAGCGTGCGCAGTGATGCGGTCGCTGTATCGGACCGTTGTGGTGAAGAGGGAGCTGAGTCGAAAGGCAAAGCTCTCAATTTACCGGTCAATCTTCGTCCCCTCCCTCACCTATGGTCATGAGCTGTGGGTAATGACCGAAAGAACGAGATCGCGGATACAAACATGTTGTGGCCCTGACATGTTGTGGCCGTGACATGTTGTGGCCTGACATGTGACCGTGACATGTTGTGGCCTAGCATGTTGTGGCCGTGACATGTTGTGACCCTGACATGTTGTGGCCCTGACATGTTGTGGCCCTGACATGTTGTGGCCGTGACATGTTGTGGCCTGACATGTTGTGGCCTGACATGTTGTGGCCTGACATGTTGTGGCCTGACATGTTGTGGCCTGACATGTTGTGGCCTGACATGTGACCGTGACATGTTGTGGCCTAGCATGTTGTGGCCGTGACATGTGGCCGTGACATGTTGTGGCCTGACATGTTGTGGCCTGACATGTTGTGGCCGTGACATGTTGTGGCCTGACATGTTGTGGCCGTGACATGTTGTGGCCTGACATGTTGTGGCCGTGACATGTTGTGGCCTGACATGTGACCGTGACATGTTGTGGCCTAGCATGTTGTGGCCGTGACATGTTGTGACCCTGACATGTTGTGGCCCTGACATGTTGTGGCCCTGACATGTTGTGGCCGTGACATGTTGTGGCCTGACATGTTGTGGCCTGACATGTTGTGGCCTGACATGTTGTGGCCTGACATGTTGTGGCCTGACATGTTGTGGCCTGACATGTGACCGTGACATGTTGTGGCCTAGCATGTTGTGGCCGTGACATGTGGCCGTGACATGTTGTGGCCTGACATGTTGTGGCCGTGACATGTTGTGACCCTGACATGTTGTGGCCTGACATGTTGTGGCCGTGACATGTTGTGGCCTGACATGTTGTGGCCTGACATGTTGTGGCCGTGACATGTGGCCGTGACATGTTGTGGCCTGACATGTTGTGGCCTGACATGTTGTGGCCGTGACATGTTGTGACCCTGACATGTTGTGACCCTGACATGTTGTGGCCTGACATGTTGTGGCCGTGACATGTTGTGGCCTGACATGTTGTGGCCGTGACATGTTCTGGCCTGACATGTTGTGGCCGTGACATGTTGTGGCCTGACATGTTGTGGCCGTGACATGTTGTGGCCCGACATGTTGTGGCCGTGACATGTTGTGGCCGTGACATGTTGTGGCCGTGACATGTTGTGGCCGTGACATGTTGTGGCCTGACACGTTGTGGCCTGACATGTTTGTGGCCGTGACATGTTGTGGCCTGACACGTTGTGGCCTGACACGTTGTGGCCTGACATGTTGTGGCCTGACATGTTGTGTCCTGACATGTTGTGGCCGTGACATGTTGCGGCCGTGACATGTTGCGGCCGTGACATGTTGTGGCCTGACATGTTGTGGCCGTGACATGTTGTGGCCTGACATGTTGTGGCCTGACATGTTGTGACCCTGACATGTTGTGGCCTGACATGTTGTGGCCGTGACATGTTTTGGACGTGACATGTGGCCGTGACATGTTGTGGCCGTGACATGTTGTGGCCGTGACATGTTGTGGCCTGACATGTTGTGGCCTGACATGTTGTGGCCTGACATGTTGTGGCCTGACATGTTGTGTCCTGACATGTTGTGGCCTGACATGTTGTGGCCTGACATGTTGTGGCCTGACATGTTGTGTCCTGACATGTTGTGGCCGTGACATGTGACATCACAGAATGATTCGTTCCTAATGGGAAAGTGTCAAAGCCACCTGTCAATCAAACTTTGTCCGAGCAGAAACACACCGTGAGCCTCTAATGTCATTATGGAGCTGGAGCTTTCCCAAAACTCACACTTGTTTTCAATTTGAGACCAAGCGCACA